TTGCTGAATTATCTTAAGATTAGAAGAAACATAATATCAAATCAGTCAAATCAGTTTGATTTATTCAAACTGATTACTGCAACTCTTTGTTCCAAAGTAATATTTAATATTATCCATCTTCATATTACTCTTCCATTTTAGCTAAATGGTAGGTATTCCACAGGTTTTCCTAGCCCAAATTGCGTTTACAATAACTCAAAGGATTTTAAGACTTGATGCAAGTTTTATATTTTATAAAACATACTATAACTGAATCCATAATAAAAGTACATTAAATTATTTGTATGACACCGTGATATTTCTTTAATAGCTATTTTAAAAAAAAACACGATTTTTATGTCTCTCCCTCAAATGAAAATGGCAAAGCATCTAGATCCTATTTGCATTTCTGTATTGTAGACCGAATAATGAAATGGCTTTAATAACAAAAGGATGATAGTAATTGAGGAAACCTTCTGAAATTCTGTGAAGAGGTATAAAATATAAGAACATTTGTCACTCGGATGTTCTAGTCTAATTTTCTAAAAATGCAGAACTCAAATTTCCATTGCAAATAAATTAATAAAATAAACCAATGAATATAATTGAGACGTGGAGTTAAAAGTATCAGAACTTTTTTCTAAATATCTACTCCAGAATTAAAATAAACTTAAACAGATTAAAACTCCTCCTTTACAAAAAGCCTGAACTTTGCATTATCATACAATATTTCTTGAAAAAAATTAAGTTATCTTCATTATATAAAAAATAACAGATTTCCAGGACAACCGTGTAGAGTTCTACTAAAAATTGGCTACAAGATTGCACTGCACCTCTTTTGTTGTAATATTACACACTTCTAAGAAAGTTAATAGGACTTTTTTTGAGTAAACATAGCCAAGCTCAGGTTCTAAAATGTTCTTGAGAATTGCACAATATGATTAAATATTTCCACTACCTAGTATATCCATTTATTCTTTTGTTACATTAGGACTTGCATGCATTAAATTATAGCAAATACTAAGCTGAAAATATACTATTCCAATCAGAGAAAACTATAAGGAAACGACTTTCTGAATACAACTTATTATATCCACAATTTGTAGTACTTATAGCAAAAGATCCAAGTACATTAGTGATGGTTTAATACAGGCATGTCAAACTGTTGGCCTGCGGGCCGGATGCATCACGCCAAAACCGCACCCACCCCATTGCCGACAATGGGGGAAAAGTCATGATACGTCGCACGACGTCACGTGATGTCGCGAGTTTGACATGCCTGGTTTAATATAACAAAAGACAAGCATTATAAAATGCATTTGCTGGTTTTGATAAACAATGTTGTGCCAAGAGTTTAGCATGGTTGCACAAAGAACTCTCTGATAAACTGAAAGACAAAAAGGGTAAGTATGAAAAATGGAAAGAGGGACACATAATTAAGGCAGAATACCAGCATGTAGCCTAAATTTGCAAAGATGAAGTCAGGAAAGCTAAGGCGCAGAATGATCTAAGACTTGCAACAAATGTCAAAAATAATTAAAAGTTTCTTTCAACATATAAAAAACAAGAAACAAGTCAAAAAAACAATTGGTCCACTAATGGGAGAAGATGGCAAGGAAGTGACGGTCAGCAGGGAGAAAGCAGAGCTGCTTAATTCTTTTTTTGCATCTGTCTTCACACAAAAAGAAAAAATAGCCCAACCTACCAAAAACAGAATCGTAAAAGACAGACAAGGGATTTAAACTGAAATAGGCAAGAAAATGGTAAGAGAACACCTGTCTACTCTAGATGAGTTCAAATCACCAGCACCTGATGGATTAGATCCCAGAGTTCTGAAGGAGCTGGCAGACATGATCTCAGAACCATTGAATCATATCTTTCAAAGATTCTGAAGCACCAGGGAATTACCAGAGGACGTGATTCCCATCTTCAAAAAAGGGAAAAAAATTAGATCCAGGAAACTACAGACCAATCAGTCTGACATCAATACTTGGGAAGATCCTGGAAAAGATAATCAAGCAACTGATCTGAAAACAGGCATGCAGTTATAACCAGAAGCCAACATGGGTTTGTCAAAAACAGATCATGTCAAACAAATCTTATTTCATTCTTTGACAAAGTGACTAAATTAGTGGACCAATGAAATGCTGTGGACATAGTATACTTGGATTTCAGTAAGGCATTTGATAAAGTAGACCACAACCTACTTCTTGGTAAGCTAGAAAAATGTGGGATAGATAACATCACCACCAGATGAATTTGTAACTGACTGACAAACCACACTCAATGTGTAGCCCTTAATGGAACTACATCTACATGGAAAGAAGGAAACAGAAGGGTAACACAAGTTTCTATTTTAGATCCGGTACTCTTCAATATCTCCATCGCTGGGGGCTTTTAAAAACAGACTGGACAGACCTTTGTCTGAAATGGTATAGGGTCTCCTGCTTGAGCAGGGGGTTGGACTAGAAGGCCTCTCCCTTCCAACTCTGTTATTCTGTTCTGCTCTGTTCAGCATGATCTCTAACCAGGGACAATAACAGAGATAGGTTAAAACACAGACCTTTGGTTGCACTCTGAGACCATGAATCATTTGAAATTAACTTCTGCAAAATGTGACTCTGTTATTAAAGTCCAAATTGGAGGATGACCAATGGTTAACTTTCTTCTTTAGATGTAACTGAGAGCCAGTTTGGTGTAGTGGTTAAGATACCTGGCTAGAAACTGGGGGATTTTGAGTTTTGATCTTGGCCTACTCATTCTCTCTCAGACCTAGAAAGAAGGCAATGGCAAGCCACTTCTAAATTCTTGTCAAAAAAACCTTCAGGACTCAACATTCACTCCAAGATGCACACATATGCATTGAATATAGAGCTGGATATTTCTACTGCTAACATTATTTTATAAACTGTCTATATTTACTCTATCAATATCACAAATATAAACTCATATTATCACATTCCTCAAAAGGAATGAAAGTCCAGTTGCCTTTTGGACAAGCATCTTTGGGATAACCATGACCTGGATGATTGAGGATCTCGATAGACACTCAAAAGTAGGAGGAATTATTTATTATTTCTTTATATATCATATTTCTAAATCACCCTTCTCACTCAAAAAGGGGCTCTGGGCGATGTACAATATAATCAATACATAAAAATATAAATAGTAACATTAAAACTTAAATTAGGGTTAAAAAAATTTAAATTATAGAATGACAAAATATCAAAAGGGAAAAAAATTCTAAGATGGCCTTTTAACATTGGATTATTACAGGTGGAGGGGCTCTCAAGGGGCTAACCAGCCCCATGGTTGCCTGATCCTCTGTGACCTTCATGCAAGGATGCAGAGCCAAATTTTGCCCCCTTTGCAGAAAGCCAAGAGATTGAGGACTTTCTTCACCTCTGGTAGCAGGATGTTCCACAAAGTGAGGGCACTGGCCGAGGAGGCTCTTTTCCTAGACCCCACCAGTCGAAATTCTTTGCTACAGACAGGTAACATACCTTCCCTGCCTGATCGAGTGAGATGGGCTGATGAGATTGGATGAAGCCTATGCTATGTATGGTTTTATAGGTGATGACCAATACCTTGAATTGGACCCAGAAGCAAACTGGTATCCAGTGCAGTTTGTGGAGTAAGGGTGTTGTATGAGCCCTTCTTTGGGCACACAGTATGGCTCACGTAGCTGCACTCTGCACCAGTTGAAGCTTCTGGATACTTTTCAAAGGTAGCCCCATGTAGAGTGTATTGCAATAATCTAATAGGGAGATGACCAGGGCAGGAGTGATTGAGGGTAGAGGCTCCCTGTCCAGAAAAGAGTGTAATTGGCGCGTAATGTGGAACTGGGCAAAGGCCCTCCTGGCTACAGCCGCCACCAGCTTTTTGAGCAGGAGCCATGAGTTCAAGAGAACCCCCAAGTTATGCACCAGGTCTGTCTGGGGCAGTGCAATCCCATCCAAAAATGATAAACTCCTGAGTACAGAGGGGCCCACCTCAGTCACTCTGTCTTACTGGGATTCAGTTGAAGTCTGTTGTTAATTAAATGAAGTCCTGATTGTCAACCATGGAATGAGGAAGTACTTATTTCCTCCAATATGCTAACACGATTTACAAAATTTTATCATATTATTAATTACTTATATGGCACATTAGTCTTTATTCATCATTATAATCACATTAAGATAGAGCTAATTTTATTCCCACAATTAATCTATTAACCATAGTTTACTGAACTAATCCAATTGCAACATTTAACTGTAGTATACTGTCCAAACCTGGACTGAATATTCATATATGAATAGAAAATTACAGACCTGCAACCTCAGAAATTGTAGAGAAAGATGCTGCAGAAATTTATCCTAAAGGTGCTTTTTCCAAAAGGCATGATAACCATGACCTGGATGATTGAGAATCTCCATAGACATTTGCAGATGTTTAGGAAAACTGATTTGACTCCTTAAAATTCCTATTCTATAAAAAAGGCTCTAGACTTATTCACTTTTGGAGCATAATTATTAGCATGTTGTGCAAAATGTTTTGTGGCTTCAGGTAGTGGGAACTGTATATTCCTCTATAGACCAAGATTAACTGAATCAAAGAAATCAGAATTTTGAAATTGTAGCTTGCATTAGATTATTTAGCATGAGCCACAAATTTACTAAATTTGAATTTACTAGAATAATAATCGAAAGCAGAAATGAAAAATAAAAAATTCTATTTTAATCTAGGTAGTATGCATACTATTAATTTAACAGTGTTACTGTATTAAATTACCAAAAGGAATTTGTTTGTAATGCAAGTAGGCCAAGTATTTGATTTCTCTGGACTATACAGAAATTGATGATTGAAAAAAAACGAACAGTGTCGGTCTATAACAATTCTTCAACTGAATAAAATGAATTACATCTTTAATATATGGAGAAAATTAGAAACAGCAATTGCAAGCACCACTAATTTTTTTATTAAAATGTCAGCCTGTATAAATCAAACTATATTTGCAACAATATATATGAAAATCTTACCCATCTCTTCCTTTACTGACAATTTTTACTTCAAAATAATATATTCCACAAGCAGCAGGTATGGGATGAGTGGCACGAACAGAAGCAGCATCTTTTGGAGTTTTCCCATGGCCTGTGAAAATATATTAAAATATATTCTAGAAATTGAAGACAATGATTCATTAATAAAACAGCTACAAAATAAAGTACTTGTGAGAGGCTAAACATTTAACTTTCCTAATCGTATTCTTCAATCTGGGTATTATTGAAACCCTAAAACATGCATTCAGTTTAGCAGTAGCCGGTTCTAGAATGAGATTCCCCTGAGATTGGGATGGTCCCCCATTCTACTGATGTTTTGAAGAATCTTGTAGACATGTCTCTGTCCAGGCCTTTAGCAAGATCCCCCTTAGGATTCTATAGGGTTTTGTTCTCTTTTGTTTGGGATCAATGTCTGCCATCCTTGCCATCTTTTTTCCTTTTATTTTTGCCTACTGTATTTTTTTTATTTTTAATGTTTTTTTTCTTGTGAAGTGTCCTGATTAGTTGGAACTTGGCTGCTATACAATTTTAATAAATCATCATCTTCATCATCATTTTGATCAGAAAACAAGGAAAGAACTATTTGTAAAACAATTGTATCAAAACAATGGTTCATTTACAACCATTCCTTATACCTGAAGCAATTTTCAAAGAGTTTAACATTAGTTTCTTTAAAGCCAAGACTGAGTAGTTTACTACTTCTATGTAATTAAGTATTATTTTTGGTTTTATTCCCCAGAAAAACATCTACTCTTAGTACTTACTAAAAAAAAAACAATCTATCAAACCAGTAAATAAGATTAATCATGGCTAAATAATTTTACAGATATAAGATTACTTAAGATACCTGCATGAGATTTGAAACCAGTGATTACATTTGAAATGATTCTACATATGTGTTAAAAATACAATGGTACCTTGGTACTCACTGTTAATTGGTTCTGGGAGAGATAATGAGTACCAAAACAATGAGTACCGAACAATTTTTAGTGAGTCAAAAGGCAGCCGACACTGACAAGTTCTAGCTTGTCCAATACCATGAGTACTGGGACAAAATTTTCATGTCAAAATGTGCTGAATACCAAATTTGATGAGTTTCAAAGCAGTTTTGAGTACCAAGGTATCACTGTGCCTATATTTCCATGTGTATCTCCTCTTGAATTGCCTGATCGGTGCTTTTTGAAGTGTTTATCAGGCCTTAGATAAGGTCCTTATAAAGAGATTGCTAGTCTTTTAATTGCTCAGAAGGTTGAGTTAAAAGGCTGGGGGAAAAAAAGCTGATTTCTACCCACTAATTGTATGTTGCTGGCTCTGTCACCATTGTATATGCATTGCAGGTTTTCCATTACTTCTGCCAATAAAAGGTTCATGAAGCTATATGTTTATGATGCTGATGGTGGGGGAATGCAGCACTATATTGCAAAAGCATTCTGGCTCCATGACTACTTCTGGATATCTGCATGCCAGCACTGATATTCCCTTGCAGCACTCAAGATGAAATTTTTGCTTGTTATTGATTGTCCCTCCTGCTTCATCCTATGCTCCTCTTCTATTAGTATAACTTGTCAGGATTAATTTTAGATAACAGGTTTAGGGTTTTTTTCACATAAAAGTGCTAGATCTGTATTGAGAAGTAATCTATCTGGTAGGGTCCAATGTCACTGCACCTGTTAGTTGCATAATCTGACAAACAGCTAAACTACTCAAGCACTTGCCTAAACTTGCTCAATCTCATTCTAATCATTTTCTCCACATCAGGGAAAGTAAATGGTATTTTTTCCCATTGGCACGTAACATTTAATGGAATGAGAAATTAATCTATGGGAATCCACCAATCACTTTTCTTAATTTGTCCTGCATTTAAACAATAGGTATAGAACCAGCTATCAGAATAAGGCTTAGCAATTGGGATACAAATTTTATACTACATTATTTTATGCTTGCACAGGTTGCATAAGCCTTATGGTAAACTATAAATGTACATTCTTTTCTCAAAGTAGAATAACAGTTTTGAAAACTGTTTAAAACAAAACAAATGTTAACGCAGAGTTAAACTCTTATACAGTGATATTTGCTACTAGAAAATCAAAATATAGCAAACAGCCCACTAAAATATAGGGTTGAATGAGCAATATTCAGTTCACAGTTTAAGTGGTATTTATGCAAGAGAAGGAGCAGAGAAAAAAATGACACTGCTATCCATTCATATCCATATACAGTTTGGGTTAAGCAATAATATTTTTTTCATTTGTAATTAAGCTATAAAATGATAATAAGCCACATGGCCATAATATTGGTTCAATATAAGATAATGTTCAGCGGGGATGGTTTTAATCAGGACACTTGCATTTCAGCTATCTGAAAATTAGTGCAGACATTTATAGAAAATAGTTTGTGTGGTTCCCACATAATCTTATTACTGTAGAATCACTGTTTGAAGAATTGGTACTAAGTAATTCATTCAAATAATTATTAGAGAAGAAAAAAAACTACCTATACAATTTTCCCTTCCATAACAACAAAATTTACAATGGCTCATCTATTTATCAGTATCAAACTTTCATTTGAACGTATTTATAATTTAGTGGGACATCTATTATAGTTTTAAAGTGTTAAGTTTATATAACTAATAACAAAACAGCTACATCATTGAACTTATTCAGAATGTTATTATATATAAAAATACAATGCCTTCCTCTTCTAAATAAGTTAATCCTTCATTTTCTGTTTTTTTAGTTATTACACAGGTTTTCTAGAAATCTTTTTCCACTATTTTTTATTATCTAGTGTTTGACACTACTAGATGATGTAGCTAGCGTATACAGCAAAACTATTGTCTGCATGAAGAATTATTCTTTATATTTGAGAATTTTACCTAAGACTGGAAAAGATGCACTCTCCAACTGCATCTTTAAGACTTAATATCTCTTTGAACTGAATTGATTTATCATTTTATCTCTCCAAATATACTTTTTCTAAGAAAAAAAAATCAAATGGTATCTATATAATCAAATCTTCAATATTCTTCTTTATATAGATCCTCAAGTAACTAAATCAATGTTTGAATTACAGTAATTATTAATGAATCATAGTTATGAATGAATTGTGCAGTTTTATTTCTATTTCTCTGTGGGTGAAATGAGCTCAATCCAAATTTTCTGAAATGAAACGATTTTTGAGCATTGCAGACAAAGAAAGAAACCACTATTATACTTTTATATTAAGCCAAACTACACACTGTAATACTTGTTAATAAAATATCACACAAAAAGTACAATACAAAATAAAATAAATATGGAATAGCTGTAAATTATTCTCAACGTATATTTCCTGATTAACAATGCAAATCATAATGAACATATTAACTTAAAGCTCAAATCCATAGGAAGTTAATCACTTTTCAGATTTAACAGTGCATAAATCATTGTTGTTAGTCCAACAAGTTTAGCCTCTACTTTCCCCCTTGCTATCAACTCATCCTTCAGCATGGCTGCAAGGAGGTCAAAACATCCATTTCTATTTTAGTTTATCTGCAGTTTAGCATCTGTACTATGATTATGGTTAGTACTGTACTATCCTGTACTATGATTATGGTTAGTGAGCATAGATTCATAACACTCTCAAATTCTGAATATTTCTAATATAACTAAGATAAATAAAAGTTGATCTGCCATGTGATATGAAAAGTTACAATTAATAAAAAACCGGAAGCAATGACTTATAATCTTTGTCACAGTGATAAGAAAGCCCAAGGACACAACATCATTCTCATTTAGGTTAGTGATAATTTAGTATTTTATCTTTATCTCTGAATCATTAAATTGTTACATATTTCAAATATACACTATAATACTGCCATACAACATACAAAAGATAGTCATTCAAAGAAAAACTTGGCTTGGAAAACTCCAAATTACTAGTTATCTAAATCTTTATGGTTGAACTTAAAAATATTATTTCACTATGTAGAAATTCGGCATCAAAACAAGGAAACTTCTTCCAGTGCTTAAAGGGACTGTCAGCATATTAGGACACTGTACCATTTTTCTGTGAAAGATGCATGCTGATATCTAAATATTGAAAATTTTATATTTGCTATGTATTAAGCTGTAAATCAGAAGCTATATAAAATAGGTTCTTATTTGTTTTCATTTTCCTCCATTCTAGGCAAAGCACTCCTGTTTCTTTGTATGCACACACACACACACTTACACACAAGCAATTTTTTCCAAAGCCTGTCTTTGTAAGTTCAAAAGTTTAGAACAATAGATGAGTCTTTTTCTACAATATGCACTTAATAACCAGTTGTCTCCTTTTTTCTCTTACTTCATTTAAGTATATCTTGGTTTCCTATTCCATTTTAGATGAATGAGTGTAAGTCTGGACTGTGTGTTTATGTGTGTATAAATCTAAAATGCAGAAGGAAACATGAACTGTCCCCAAATGATTTCAGCACAACAGAAAATATAGCTTCTTTTGTACATCAGCTTGTGACTCTTTACTTCCTGATATTAACATCAGAAGAAGGAAGATAAATTCAACATATAATAGAAACCAAATTTGAAGGAATCAATTTTTCATTAGTCAATATTGCAGCTAATGTTCATCATCGTGCCAGATGAATTTACAGAACAGTGGATTTCTTTCTTCGTTTTTACTCGTTTTAAAAGTTTTACATTTATTCTTCCAACTTCTGCTGACCTTTACTCTCTTGCTAAACAAACACATTTCTTGCCCTAACCGGTTTATTTTTAATTGGACACGTCACACTGACTGACTGGCTTTCTCCTCCCCTGACCCCAAGTTGTTATTCAACAGGAGAAATAATCTCTTTGGAAGAAAACCACACTTTATATACTCATTCTCCCCACATCGTCCACAACCAGAAAAGAAAGGATCATCCAAGCCTCTCAATATTTGGAAGATGGGGGAAAAAAAAATATGAAGCTGAGAGGGGAGTCTACTTGGCTTCCTAACTTTTCTCGGAGGACCCAATGAGATTTGTTTCCTGTTGTTCTATTTTTTAACATTTCTCCTCCTCCCCTATTGATTTCTTCTAAAACGTTTCCTCCCCGATTAAGAAAAGAAATC